TTCGAGGGTCTGATTAACTACATGGAGGTTAAAGTACTAATTGCAGTCTTTTCTCCCCTACAATTTAAGCAGACCAGGCTTAGTATTGTTACCAGCATGCTTCTCCCTGTGCACATTAACAGTATAGCAATGCTCCTGTCTTCTCAACAGCTCAGGCTCAGTTCTCTGCCAACACAGGTGTATGTCCTTATTCCCTTTGGCTATAATTAGTTTAAGTACCTTCTCTGATTTAACTGACTGAAGTTTGTTGCACACAGCAATGGCAAGATTAGAAAACCTAGCTCTTCACAACTGAGGTGCTCAGATGAGACAAAACCCGATCAAACTGTGCAGCTAACTGACAAGCCTTCAAAGGTTATCCATTTCCAATAGTTAAGCAGATGAGATGGCCCATGCAACTACCACCTCCATTGCTTGTGACATGTGAGTTATGGAGGATAATAATCCTCAGTTTCTGTACAGTGCTCAAGACAACATTCATTCAAAACTTAAGTGACATCTTGGGCAATGACTGTCCCTGACTTACTCTTTACATGCTACAAATGGTGCTGTGATAGGGTGTGAGATATTTGCCTGCTGATCTGAGATGAAAGACAGTAAACTTGTCAACATGTATAATTACTATTATTGAGTTGATCTCCATGAAAGGAAGTAGTTCACATCTTTTAGAAGCAATTAACCCTGTTAGCTTTTATTCAAACTTAAAACACTCCTGGATTTGTGGCTCACCTTTAGTTTTTAATACATGAGAGTGCAAACTAAGTTTCATCTCTGAAGGAGGTTAACCAGTCCCCAGACTGGTTTCACTTTGCGTGTTTTGATCTGCCCACATCTCAGTCAGGTTACTTTATGATATTCTTCCACTTGCCCCCAGTGATGTTATCAGGGTAACAAACAGGCTGGGTCCCGAACACCAACAGTGCTAACAGAACTCCAGTTGCACAGGATATACGACTGGCTTTTATGTAAATGGCATGGAAAGAAGCCGACTGGATTCCCAGTCCTAGCTAGTGAGATTGTAATAGCAAAAAAATCCATCTTCCAACTCAAGCTGAACCACTGATGTTGAAAAAGTCACCAAGACACACCAAGTACTTAATATCATAAATCCCAACAATGTCTCATTTACCAGGTCAAGCACCAAGCTGTCTCATTTTCCCTGCAGTCAATTGAAATAACCCAAACACCACAAGAACAAAAAGAATCAAGGGGCCGTACGCTGCAAGTTTCCAGAACTCCATTTCAGGAATCAATTTGTAATCTTTGTGTATACTATGACTGCAAAAAGTCTGCTTATTGTGTCTTTTTATTCTTATTTTTTAAAAGATCCTCTATCTACTAAACTATCTGAAGTTCATTCATCTTTGTGGCTGAACAGAAAAAGCAACATCCACTGAACTGCTGACAAGCATCTGCAACACTTGTTCATTAACAATTTCTGTCATGGTGACTTTGAACTGGAAAACCAGCCCCCAAAATTTTCTTTTGCTGAAAGAAGCCTTCTTCATTTCTCCTACTTGCCTTGCTCTACTATATATCAAAGCCAAATGTGATGATATGTGCTGTACCCATGTAATTGTCACTGGAGTTCTCCGAAGACATTGTATGTGCTCATGATGTTCATCACTTGAGGACAACAGCTCCTTTGAAGAAATTCTCAAGTGATCCAAATCAAGTATGTTTTGTTTAAGACCACATGATGGTCTTCTAGCCAATTATGTGCAAAACAAGTAATGCAAAGTAAAATAGGACAGACATATAGCGTTGCACAAGTAATGTAGATGAGTTCCAGAAGCAGTACGGGAAGCACCACTACCAAGAATCCGTAACATGAGTCTGCTATCACTTTGGCTGTTGGGAGTGTTTTTTGAAGCCTGGATGAAGGAGCAAGTAATATACTTGTATTCATATGCAATTATATTCCCATAACTGTCTTCAGAGAGATTGAGGCTTGCTAGTCACTTACATACATAAACAGTACAGAGAATTAACAGATTAGTTTGAACAGAAACCAAGACACAAGAAAACACTGTCCCAATTCAGGCAGCACATTCGCATGCTATCCATCTTACATTCTCTGTAAGCAGCCATTCAGCTTTTCATAGCATCTGTATTTTGTCTGTGCTGCCTCCTACTAAAAATCCTATTTAGTCACTGGCAGCTTGCTGGAAAGATCTGAGAGGAGATATGTACTTTTTAGCTATGTAAAGTTATTTAAAGTTTTAGTAACTACAACGCCTTATATTGTAAGTTTAGAGCCTCCAGATGTTTTATTAGATTTAGAAATAACCTGAAGAGGAGAGAATTAACTTATTCTTGCAAATACACAAAAAATCCCTTTTGTCCTCAAAAACTAATTCCTTCCTAGTACTTATTCCTCAGCTACAGACCATCTCAATCTGACAGCACAATTCCCACAAAGGTTTGATGCAATGGAGAACAGCAGGTTTTACAAATAGTGTGTGGTAAACAGAAGAAGGCCAACAAAGAAGCCACAAAGGCTCTTTTCAAGAAAGCATTCTTGAAGCCATTAGAAGATTTAGTTGTGGCCCAAAAAACAGGGTTGGGAGCTAGCCATCTACTGTTCTGATTCCAGCACCAAGTCCTGTGCCCTTGTAAAACCATCACCCTATCTCAGATTTCCTTCATCCATTAGTTCAGTTTGACTAATTTGAAAAATTAGTGAAATTTTTGTAATACAAAGTTGATTCAGAGGCGTTTACCACTGACACAGTTTAAAACTATTTCTCTGCTTCTCTTCCACAGTTAACAATTCTTACCAGCACCACTCTACTCAACATCTTCTCACAGTCAAACCAACTGCAAGCAATGGCCCTCCAGAGCCCTACCCGTAATTCCACAGAATCCAAGCTAGTTTTTCAGCCAAAGCCTTAAACAAAGAAAAAAAAAAATTGTCATACTATCACTAAGCAGCTGCTCCATTCACCCAATTGAACTTTCGCCAACTTCATCCACAGAAAGTGCCTACAAAGTAGTATTATCTCTAAAGCCTTAAGGCAATTAAAAAAATGCATGACTGGGAAACAGCACTTTGCAGAAAATGAACAGAGAAGTATGTAGATCACTCTATGAGGTGTTTATTCTAGCTGAAGGCTGACTTACTGGCTTTCTAAGCACCTAACACTTTCACAAGACCTGTAGCTGAGAAAGCCTGGGTATGAATGGACAGGACTTTCTCTATCCAGCTGTTATCTCCATCACTTCCGAAAAGTGCTATGGTTTTTATAGAAATTGGACGTACAGAGGCTTTTTTGAAGTGACACAGCTTTCAAACACCAAACCCACTTCTTTTCTCAATAAAAAGAGAGCCTATGAATTCTGGTACTGCTTAGCACCAAATCAGCAGGATGTAGCCTGACACGCATTTTAAGCAGCACTACAACAAAAAAAAGACCTTTTGAGTTTATTTTTTTGCCAAATTGGTTCCTGATCTGGTTCACCTTTCAGCTCTGATGGATCTTGCTGGCATAACGGCAGGAGAACAGTCTGGAGTAGAAGATGCTTCCATTCTCCTGGCTTCAACAAACACCATGCTGTAGCCCCAGAAAAGGGGCAAAAAGGCCTGAGTTTGAATACTGCAAACAGAAATCAGCTACACATTCCTTGCTTCCTGCTTCATTAAGCAAAACAGATACTGGAAGAAACCCAAAACAAGCAACGCCTGAGCAGACCACAGGCTGTTGGCAAATCATCAGCTAGAAAGAGCTCATTTTCAAGACGACAGGAAGACCCAGCCCTTTTGCACAACTTTTCATGTAGTTTGAAGCTTTGTTAGTATCTGTTCTGAGACCAGCACTGGGGATGACAACTGGCTGGTACAGGTCTCTCACATGGACCTCTGGGAAACACTCAGTGCTAGAACAAATACAGGCTGCTGTCTGGCTGCATTTGCCTCAGTGATGACCTCTCTATTGAACAACCACCAACACCAATTGCTGGCACTTAACTCTGTTCTCAGATAACGCAAGCAAACTGAATGGAACCTGCTAGAACAGAAAACTTCTTAAGTAATTTCTCCAGCAAGCTTTTTCCCTGTCAGGTTAGATAGTCAGATAACCCATGTTCAAAAGCAAAAATAGTTCTTCAGTACACACTACCACCTCGTGGCCAGATGCCTGAAACTCCCGTAACTATGTTCTGCAGTTTGAATTCTATGAGCCTCTGAACTGAATGGCACCGAGAGATCCCCAGCAAACTACACTGCCATCTTGGGCGAGCTGCTCACAACTTTTTAATTACCTGTGAAGAGGGAAAAGCATCCTACATGCAAGGTGCTGTACTATTTCAGTTTCAAGGCAGATTATATACCACAAGTGCAAGTTAGTTATTTCATGCTATAACTGAAAGAAGCTGCTAGCTACTAGACAAAATAGATATGAGAATTTGTGGTTTTAACTTCTTTGAATGCATTGAGACTAGTATAGATTTCCCATTTCTTACTTTCATAATGAAAAAGACAAATATGCTGAATTTCTTCCTCTAGTGCATTAAAGTCTACTGATCTCAAAAATTGCCTCTAGCTCCCCAAGTAAAAAGGGATTTCAGAAACATCCCTGTATTTACGTCAACGGAGGTACAAACAACAAATTATACTAGAGATGAAAATCAAAAGCATTGCCCCTGCAGTAACCAGCACACAAGACTGTAAAAGATACACAGCAAAATACTCTGAAAGCCATCTAAAAAGTGGGGGCAAATAACAAACAACAGAATGGGGAGGAGAACGGAGAAGAGCTAGACACAGAACAAAAATTGATACAAGACAATATTGCATCTTATCTAAGGCTAGGATTACTTACCTCTAGCTGGAAATTTCTTATGTTATTAGGCTGATCTGCCAAGTAGGCTAGTAAATTGGTTTATTGCTCCAGAAATAAACATGTACTAACAGACATTTATGGATGTGTCCACCGAATGAGTTATATGTCAAACTGTGTTCAGCTTTCCCCTTCTACATGCTTACTGTTAGAAAGACTCACCAACAGTTGTACCATCTTCACCCATAATGCACTTCACAGAGGTGATGATTTGCTCCACAACAGGAGGTGACATTGATGTTGCATACACAGCACTGTGAGAGTATGTTCTGAGGTAATCAATCAGTTCCTAGCAAAACACAAGAGGCATCAGACATTGCCTTCCCAGCACTCTGAGAAATGCTTTATTGTCATGTCTTAATCACACAATAAAGTAGTCCACCACAAGAAGCCTCTTTCAGAATGTCTTAGGAGAGAACAAGTATCTCAAGGATTGATTTTACAGTACAAGTAATAAACAGTCGAAAAGCAAACAGCAGGGACGTGACAACCCATAATTATGTCACAAAGAATGTGCATTGATCAGAGACAAATGCCTACAACAGACTTGTTTAGCTAACACCACCAGCACTGAATTGCAACAAGGTGTTTGCATTACTCAAGCTGTGAGCAGGCAGTGTTTCCAAAGTGTTTTTTATAACAGTGCAAGCATAAACCAAATGAAACAGAGGGGAGCATGATCCACAGATGCTTATGTATCATGCTCTCTATAATTATTTCCCTACAAAAGTCACCAAACAGGGGACTAGGTCACAAAATATCTTCTCCCATTTATCAGAACAATATAAATAAAGTAGTGGGTGTAATTTAAGAGTGAAAAAACCTCAGCCTACCTCTCCTCCACTTGCCAGTTAACACACTTGCTACATTTGTTAGAGGGCAAATGCAAGTCATATAGGAGCAAAGGACCAACACACAATAAATCTAGGCTATTTGTTGTTAACTGTAACAAAGCCACTCTGAAATACCCAGACCACTCCAGCATAACATTATAAACACCAGCATGAATGCCAGGACAGATTCTGTCTTCTGCAACCATAAAATTAATAATGATGGCCCCACAGACAGCACAAGCTGGGAACATATTACAGTAATACGTGGAAGTGTTCACTTTTATGTTGCTATCTGCATGAAGTCAGAATTAAATGAAAGGAAGTTGTAAAGGGACTTTGAAATAAACTAGGCAAGATTTAAGGCCTCTTGCCTCTGAAGCAGTCCCTCAAACAGTAGTTAAAATCCAGTTGAGAAGGACTCTTCGCTGCTTCACCTTATGCAGAGGGAGTTAATCCCACTAGCCCACTACCTCTGGAAAAAGAGAATAATATGGTACTTCTTTTCTGGGGAAGATGTCAGAGTAATTTTAATCCAACTGTAGTAAACTCCTAAAGAGGAACATTTGCAAGTCCCATCTTCATTTGGATGGACTGAAGTAATTGTCACTAGTAGTATCTAAAAATTATTGTCCTGATAGGAAAATGGTAGAATTTTACTCATAAATGAAGCTTAGAACCTTATCTGTGAGATACATTTGAGGATGAGAAAGGGGAAACATGCAATTGCCTACACCATCCCCTCCAAAAGGAGGGGTTTGGCAAGGGCTACACTTTAGCAGTACTTTACAATAGAAGAGAGTCAGCAGCAAAAAAAAAAAAAAAAAAAACCCACAAAAAACCAAACCCACAAACAACCCTCCCCTCACCCCACCAAAAAAGGGAAGAAGTGTCCTTCTAGAAAGCAAACTGTTTAAGTCCAGAGGGAATCAATTCTACCAGACTAACCTAAGGGGATTTTTCTCCAAACACGCTGAAAAATACCAGCTTTTGACATTTCTGCTGCAAGTCTCATTAAAAGCATTATTAAGAAATCCCTGCCTTCCTGGTTCCTAGCAGTTCCTAAGAACTTATACCACTACTGTACCTTCTGTAAACGGACATCATTGCTGACCATGTGAGAACTACACAATTATGAGGTATTTTACTAGACTCTTTTATATTACAAAAGCTTTCACTGTACTAGATGATGTAAGTAAAATTGTGAAACAAATGGACAATCAGGGTACTTGAGAAATAGATTAGTTTTGAAATGCTTAGTGAAGGACTTCACCACCAGCCTGAAACAGCCATGAGATTCCCAGATTTTTACCTTCTTGCCCCCAATGTATCCTCCAGCAGCTCCAAAGCTTTTGGTGAATGTTCCCATCATAATATCCACATCTTCAGGATTGAGTCCAAAATAGTCCACTACACCCCGGCCACTGGGACCCAGGGCACCTATACTATGAGCCTCATCAAGGTACAAATAGGATTTATACTTCTTCTTAAGGGCAATCACTTCAGGCAAACGGACTATGGATCCCTCCATACTGTTGAAAAACAGAAATTCACTGTAAGTTGATTTAATGGCTGGGGCCTCTTTATAGAGCCTAAAGTCTCTAATCTTTCTTTTCTTCACTCTTTCAGTACTTATGAACACATACAATTTTCTAGATGCATCATATTCTGCAGAGAGATGGTCCTCCTTGCACCTAGGGCCCAGATTCTTCTACCTATTTAACGCCTCTGGAATGCTGACATACAGACCAAGCAGTAGCAGCAACAGTGAGATAAGGTAAAGGAACGTGTTCTGTGACAATTTTATAAATGAATTATCTCAGTTTTACTTCCACCCTGATGTCAGTATTCTGATGACATCTACTTACCTGTTAGTTTTAAGTTTAGGAACCCACTAGGCTTTCATTACCAGCACTCAAAAATGCCACATTTTGTGCTGAAATTAATATTTAATTTAATACTATAACTTAAATGCCTAACAGAGCTAAGCCTACTACATGCTCTTACTCACTCTCAGCAAAACATTCAATTTGTGCAATTCCATTCGCACTAGTGTTATCTAGTGAGCACAGAAAGAATGGGATGGACAAACAATTTAAGACCTCAGCTCTGATGTAAATAATCAGTTTAGGTTAATTAATTTCTACCATCTAATCAGGATGTGGGAAGCATTGTGGTAACACTAGTTATCACAGTACTTCCCACAGTGCAGTACAGTACTAGCAACAGAAAGTCCAGGATGCAAGACATACATAGCTCAATTTAATTTGCAGATGAGATTAATGAAGTAACAATATTCATAGTTTGATTTGGCAAAAGAACCCAAATACTAAGCAGCTAGATCTCATGTGGAGGGTCCTAGGAATATAAAGAATAGTTTGTACCTGTATATGCCTTCCACCAAGATAAGAATTTTTTTCCAGGGCCTCCGTGTACGAGGTTGTCCATGCACAATAGCATCTTTGAGCAGCTTCTCCAGGCTTTGCATATCTGCACCAGAAATTACTGTTAAATGGTACCAAAACAGCTACTAGCTTGAGCTTTGACATGACTAAAGACAGCAATATTCTGGAAACGCACAAATTGCTCCAGTGTGGAGGACAGACCATACGTAAGTCAATAAGCATAGGCTTCATCTAGCTGTGGGCCCACAGATGAGATTAAAGGGAAGGGGTAACAGCATGAACTCTAAGGAAGAATTTCATCATTCTAAGCTAAAAGCAGAACTTAAAGCATTAGGCATAAAGAGCAAATGGGGAAAAGGAAGGGAGGGAGGGAAGAAAAATTAGGTAGTAAGCCTATCCTTGTGGATCAAAATAACTCAAAAAAGAACAAGGAAGCTTAAAGATCAACTAAAGATAAGTAGAAGATAAACCACAGCACAGAACAAGAAGGGAAGTAAGTGCACTTTTTTATTACTTTGTTTAAAACTTAAGGGACTGGAGGTGTGGAACAGGAAGCTACTAAACAAAAACAGGAAAGGAAGAAAAAAGAAAAACCAGATAGGGAAGAGAACAGTGCTCGGTGCATCAGAAACTAGACAGATGAAGTTGTTAGTAGCAGCGTATTCTGAAACCTTCCTAACTTTGGCTACAAACACTGATCCTAGGAGACCTGACTATTATGAGCAAATAAATATACATGAAATCAGCCCTTAAAAACCAAACAACCTGAGGAAAGGAGTGGAAATGTGAGTAATCAAGCCATAAAAGCTAAAGTGCTGAGCAAGAGACATATAAACACTAGGGCATGAAAAAGAACACAAGCAATCATGAAAAGAAGATTGGTAGGCTAGGGTAGTTGTAGCAGAGAGAGGAGCTTGTGAACTAGAACTAGACTAGAAATTATACCGCAAAGTAGGTCAGTTAATAGACTGTTAAATACAGCTGATGTTCAAAAAAAGACAAAGATGAACTCAGCAGTGGAGTTCCTTCCTCTCAAGGGAGAAAGGACGAGTTTAGTGCAATTAGGGAGAACGATGGAATATAAACTTCTGCTCTCGTGTTTGAAGATGGGAAGATGGGAACTAGGTCTGACCTTAATAAAAACGACAAACTGCAGAATGAGGTAGGAAAAAGATGGAAACACTGAACAATGAATTGAAGGGGGATTTTAATTTTTTTCCCAATGATTTCTAAAAAGCAGAATATGAATGAAGTCATTAACATCTCAGGAAAACGAAGTTAACTAAGGCAGCAAAGACTTAGTAAGAGTAGGACTGCAAACACATACGTAACTGAGTATCATCTTGACAGGCCAAGATCATTGCTTGCGTTTTGCCTTCTGATTCTAACCTGCCACCCTATTCTCTTTCACAGACCCCCACTATCTATAAAGTTTCTAGAATATCCCCTGATCTTACCACTGATAGTTTGTACCCCATTCCCACAAATTGTCTATTCTTTCTCATCACACCTGAGACCTTAAGATCTTCTCACATGTAAAGGTTTATCTGTCACCAGTGTACCCTGAAAGTCTGGAACTGGATGCAGTGTTCAGAGGCATGCATATCTACAGTAATGCAGAAGTTAAATGCAAAGCTTTCATGATGTTGCCCAGCAATCATGATTTATGAAGAATTAAGAAAAAATATAATAATAAAATCCCTGAATGTTACAGTAAGCTCTATACTTCTGTATAAAAAAATTATTCAAACAATAGAGAACAAGAAAGAGAACATAAAAGAAACAGTAAGCACAGCAGAGGATCCACCATCAAGTAGGGCAAAGAAAAGAAAATAATTGCAGCCACCCAAGCTTTGTTGTCATCGCCACACACTTCAAAGACAGCAAGAGTCATCATGATCTCAGGGATTGATACTGTAAAGAGTATTAGGAGCAGCTGATGAATGAAGATAGGGACTTTACTAATCAAGGGCAACCAGGTATTCTCAGTGAAAGAAGTAAGAGGAGGAAACCCTACGTATTTTTAATCCGAAAGTTATTCTAACCAACTCCTTTGGAGGAAGCAGAAATTAGCAAAATGAAAATTCTGTATTATTTTGGAAACAAGTAATTACAGCAAGTAACTTGGTGAAATTAATTTATGCTTCACATTCCCAAAATTCCTTTTGTACTACATTGTACCAATGCATAGCTGTCTGGTTTAGCCAGGACATCTACATTGGTAAGCTTTTGTTACTGTTGAAACATCAACAGTAACAGCATCTGGTCCTAAAATTAAACTTTGTTATGGCCCAAACTGTAACTTAGATCATTACAAGATTGCATTATTATGTGACACAGACTGTTAGAGTAGTCTAACCATGCTGAGCCATCCAAGTAACAAGAAGCCATGTTAAAACACTAGTGCCCCTAGACTTGGCCAATGGGCAGCATGTTCCTCTTCACATACAGGAGATGTAGGCCAGAACAGCTTCAGGATAAAAGTAGTATTAGCTGAGACTGAACATACCAAACCCATCCAGTTCCAGATGATTAAATTCTCAGTAGCAGCAGTCTTTGACCTTTCAGGTAACCAGCAATTGATTTTCTTGCATGAAATTGGATTTCCAACTATTAGAAGATAGAAGAGATTGTATCTGATCTCTAGCACCTGCAGAATGGCAGAGTCCACTGTCTGATACTTACTGTTGTGCTTAAAGATTCGAATAGTTGCTCCTGACAGTCTTGCTCCAAGCACTAGTGATGCATGATTCAGTTCATCACTCAAAATCAGGCAGCCCTGAATTAAAAGGGGAAAGAGGAAGATATTGAAAAGGTTATGTTTCACAGCCAAGCATATAACGCCTCTCAGCTCTGAACTGCTTAGAGATCATTTAAAGAAAGAAAAAAACCCAAAAACAATATAAATGCAGCTAGTCCAGGCAAGACTTGCTAAGAAAAGGCCTGTAGCCGTAGTATGGCAAATACAAATACACAACTGTTGTTAACTGAAAGAACCACTTAAGTTTCACTCTTCCCAGAAGTTCTGCAGCTGAATCTACCTGAATATCTCATGTTAATGATTAGTATTCACCTCCCTATACAGCTAGGGAAAATAGAGAACAGAGCAGCTTGCTGCAGTTCACCCAGCAAGCCTACAGTGATGTTAAGGAACAGGCCACCAAAGCCCTAGATTAAAGACCCTAGAAAAGTTGCCCTATGTCTTACACTAGGAGGTAACCACTGACTAAACCCATGTGTGCTCCATGGCATCAAAGGAACTAATTTGTTTTAATGAACAGAATTCTTAAGTACTTTGTAGACAGAGGTAACGTACAAGAGACAGGAAGTGGAGAACAAAATTGTAGAGTGAAACTGAGAAGTTTTCTGAAGCCATTAAATATTACATTGAATTTGTTTGCTTTAGAAAAAAGGGAAAATATATCCTTGGACATATATCAAAACAAGATACGTCTGTTCTGAGGGCAGCAATGATTACACGTCAACAGCTGATAGACTGAGCATTCAGTTACAGTGTTATCGTTGTGGACTACAGGAATGCATACTGGGGGACTAGTCTGTAAAAGAGCAATAATATTTTTAAATAACCTTGGCAAATACTATGCAAATCTGCTGCAAATCTGTAAGTGACTAAGTTAAAAATCCAAAAGCATGTTAAGATGCTGAAGATTTGACACTAAACACATGCTCATTCTATGTTTCTCTATTAACAACTGGTGGAGGGAAGAGTTGAGAACATTTCTTCTCTGCAGTGAGATTTACTAGAAAGGACGGTAAAAACCACTGCCTACAGTTACACAAGGAGGTGTCACAGACAATAGGAGTATTTTCTCCACAATAAAAAAAAAATCTGCACTAGAACTGCAATGCACCTAGAAATATTCTGCATCCTGGGAAAGTTTGAGACTGGTTTTCTCCAGAAACTGCACTAAATCTGAAGAGCTCAAACTGTTGTTAGAAGGATTGTCGTGGTTTAAGCCCAGCCGGCAACTTGGAACCACGCAGCCGCTCGCTCACTCCCCCCCTCTTCCTTCCTCCCCCCGCTCCCGGAGGGATGGGGAGGAGAATCGAAGGAATGTAACTCCCACGGGTTGAGATAACAGCACTCCAGTAACTAAGGTATAATACAAACCACTACTGCTACCAATAATAATGATAAGAGGAATAACAAGGGAAGAGGACACAACCGCTCACCCCCCGCCGACCGATACCCAGCCCGACCCGAGCAGCGATCTGGGCCTTCCGGGTAACTCCCCCCAGTTTATATACTGGGCATGACATGCTGTGGTATGGAATAGCCCTTTGGCCAGTTTGGGTCAGGTGTCCTGCCTCTGCTTCCTCCTGGCTTCCCCTCCTCTCTGGCAAAGCATGAGACTGAGAAAGTCCTTGGTCAGAGTAAACATTACTGAGCAACAACTAAAACCATCGGTGTTATCAGCGTTGTTCCCAGGCTGAAAGTCAAAAACACAGCCCTGCCCCAGCTACTAAGAAGGAGAAAAAATGACTGCTATAGCTGAACCCAGGACAAGGATTCACAATGTATTTCAGAGACTTTGACATAAGAAGCATGGAAATTTCCAACTAGTATTTGCTCTTTGGAGCTACTATATCAGACAAGGAGTATGTATACTACATCAGAGGGCATTGCTGTTAAACACTACTGTAACAAAATCTGAATAATCCAGTACTAGAAGCATTCCTAAATGGTAGGAAGTAGGAAGAGTGACAGATTTAGAAAAAGAGGAAGAAGAGATTAATAGCCTAGAAGGACCTTCTCTGTAAAAACAAGAACGAGCTTTTGGCAGAGAAAAGAGATTTAACAAATCACTAAGCAGCCACTTTTCATCCCCTGTAACAGAAGAGGACATTGAATTATACAAAAATTAATTCAAAACTGAAAAGGAAGTGAAGAGTCTTGTATCATCTGCCACTAGAGAGAGGGCAAAGGATCAAAGAAGCCACCAATACAGTACAGTACTAATGATCATATGTAAAACTGAGTGCTGCTACTACAATGATAAGACTTCAGTTGCATTTATCAGCAAACTTACATTTGAGACAAGACAACCAACACTAACTGGAGATCACACTACTGATAAAGAAAAACATGCCAGTGAAGATCAGATTTATCAATTCATCCTACAGAGCAGACATGGAAACTGAAGTGAAGGACACATTTTACCAGAGTGCTGCATACACGAATTGTGTAATTTCACAAACTAACTATACATGGAAATTAGTTTTCCTACATCCTTCAAGCTCCATTGCTCTAAATCTATTATCCAGCCTCTGTCGGTCCAGAGCTAGGATGAAAAGCACTGTGCTAAAGGCAGTACTGAATGCTGTTGGTAGCTAGTTACGGTAACCACATTAATTACACTTACTTCAAAACAGGCAAGTTTCAGAGTCTATCTTAGCCTCGAATGGTCTAACAACTTCTGATTATGTAATCCTCAAATCTCACATTACCTGTGGTCTAGACTCAGCATACTTGGCAGCCAACAACTCAGCTGTCAACA